GATGTCCGGCTTCAGCCAGGTCTCAGTGAACGCGATAATTTGAAAATTAAAAGCAAGAGAGTCTAAATACAGGTTAGCGAGTTTAGATTTAAGACCTCTAACATTCTGGTAGGCAAGCTCGAAAAAAGAATTCAGTTTTTTGACGCAGCAACTAAAGTTGATGCGCCACTAGAAACATATGGTAATAAAATCGGAGTCCCATTTTTCTCTTGGCCTTATATTCTTTGACTATTAAGTGTTCCGGCCAAAACTCTTTACAACAAATGTTAGTAAATATATCTGGCGGAACACTTATTTTAAAGGATGCAATATCCCTTTCATAGGCGAACTTAAATTTCTCCACCGTTATACCAAAGACAACATAAACACTAAGATGACAATAACAACAAAATGCTAGTATGCGCCTTGCTTTTTTGAAATTTGAGAACGAAAACAAAATCTGTATCATTGCGCTCTCACAGCCGGCTCTATTAGAGCCGAATTATATATAATATATAATTTCTTTAAATTAAATGATTAATTATTTATTATTTTTATTTTATTAAAAAATAAAAGAGTGCCAAAACACACAAATAGGGTAAATTAAATACGTAGGTAGCTAGTTCGACCGGCGGAGTAAAAAATAATTTAAACAAAAAAAAAATTGATAAAATGAATATTTGGAAACACAAAATATTCGCTCAAATTTCCTTTCTTTTTTTTTCTTAAAAATAATAATAATTTAATTTATAAGTTAATTTAAAGAAATTATATTAATATTTGCATCGACTTTAAAAACCTCAGTACACAACGCATGCTGTTCATTCATACAATGAATACAAATTTGGAATAGGTCGTGCATGATCAGCGCTAGAAAACAAAATTTATTTCTTCACCAGCCAAAGCCAAGGCAGTGAATAAGAACACATATACATATACATATTTTGATATAGTTATGCATGCATAATTCACAAATACAAACATAGGTGCATGCTCGCCATTGGCTGAACAAGAACTTCTCTCGAGCATACACTGTTCAAAAACAAAAATGAAATAAATCTATGTGTCATAATTTCTTAACATAGTTATTGCACAATTTGCGCCTTGTAAAAAATTATTTATATTCTTAAATTCTTAGTGTTTATATTGTCTTTGGTTATACCCTTGTGTTGTACTGAATTCTATTTAACAGTACTAAGTTTAATAAATTCATTTGATAATTTTTATTAACTTTATGTGTTTAAATTACATTTAATTTACAATAATTTCAATACAGTTTATTGTATACATAAGAAAAACAAATCAAGACATCTAATCATAGATGGCGCAGTTAACATGATATTCATAGAAATTGTCAAAAAATGACTGCCGATAGATGGCGCTTAAGTGCAAAAGGCTGTTAAGTTAGATGCACTTAAAAAAGCGAAAAGATATTTCAGGCAGCTATCTTACCGATACAGCTAAGTATCGAGGCAGCTTAGCAAATTATACTGTATATTCATTCATTTGAGCGAAGGTCCCTAGTGTCCCTGCAGTAATAGGTTGTTTCCGAGAATTGATAACTTGTCGGAATATCGGAATCCTGGTTTTGAGCAAGCCACTAAGGTTTTAAGAGGTAGAATACTAAATTTTACATTTCTAGAATAGTATATACAGATCAAATGTCTTTATTTTTATAGCTATCGCCACCTCCCGCAGCAAGCAATTGTCTATTGCAAAATAAGATCTACTGCCGAAAATGTCGTCAAGATCGGTTAAGAAAAAAAAAAGTTTTTAAAGAAAACGTGTGCTGATGTGTATTTACAAGCGGCATCTAGAATATAAGAATTTCTGTATACATGTAAATTTATTGAATTATTGATTGTATTGTGCTGTGCTGTGTTTGTGTGCCCATATTTTAATTCGATTGTTGATTTTTTAAATTTAAAATGAGTAGGTATGGCCGTCGAGTAATGGCAGTAGCAACTAGTTCGGTCGGTACTATAATTTTTTTTTTACTGCTAAAGCAAACGAGCTCGTAGCGCAAGTTGCATTTGGTGCTGGTAGAAGAGGGTTCAGGGTATCTCCTAGTCAGGAACTGCCGACTAAAGCCTCTTGTTTAATCCATATATAATAATCCCTACATTACAATATATGCTCATTGTATTCGGCGTATACTATTCAAGTATATTGTGCTAACAGAAATCAGTCGACAACAGAAGAGACAATCCTTGCTTCTGCTTTGCATAACTTGGCATCTGGAAACATGACATCCGATGATAAAAATGACCACATACTTTTTATCTAGTTTTGAACCCATTGAAAATGGGTAAAAAGGGTATAATGTATTTGTGCAAATATATGTAACAGGCAAAAGGAAGCATCTCCGAACCCATAAAGCATATAAGACACAAATGTGGGAACAGGCAACGAAAACAGGTGAACCGCACTTGCCGCTCGTTTGCACTGTGATATGGAAAAAATGCAAGTGATCTTTTAATGTATTTTTCGACATTGTAAACATTTTGGGTTAAAGGGTGTTATGGCAGGCAATAAACGATCAGAATGTCCAGCATGCGTATGCATCCATTTGTCCATTTGTTCCCACATTTGTGCCTTACGCGGCCGCAGGCCCACCGTCGCCCAAATTTACGCACCCATTGATGAAAATATCTCTGTCTCACGACAAACCCTTGATCGGCTCATTCGCACACATTTTTGTGTGTGTGTGTGTGTCTGTGTGTAAAGCTCGAAATTCAGAAATGCCAAAAACTTCAAATTTGGCCAAATTTGCGTCGGGTAGAGGCAGGCAGGCAACCAACACGCACACAAACGCATAAATGCTTCCATCCATATAGAAAAGTGTGTAAGTGTGTGTGCTTGGCAAGCCCAAAAAGTTATTATGCACACATGCCAGCGTTCAGGTACCCTTACCCTTACAACAATCATGGAAAATAGGAGATTTGCACATGAACAGGCTAAACACTTTAATACTGTCACCCAACTGCTTAAACAAGTAGCAAGTCGAAAAAATTGAATATTTTCAATTTTTTGTCTTTTCTTAAATTATTCGACAAGCCGACGAAGAATTACCCTTGCAGAAATACGACATAGTTTTTTTTTTAATTTTAAGCAAAATTGGTCCCCACAGTAAACAAAAAATTAAAATATAATATATAAATATATATATTATTTAGGTCATTTAAGTTTTTAATAAATATAAATATATCAGCGACAAACGACAAAATATATCGGCGACAAACGCCGCGATCTACTTGTGCGCACATCCATACAAACATTTGTATGCTTGTAGATCTCGGGGTTTTTGAGAAGCTATGCAGGGAGAAGGAGATGCACACAAGTGCGCAAAGCATTAAGTGTGAGCGAGGCACACTCTGCAAACGCATATACACATATGTATGTATTTGGGCTGAAAAGATTTAATACTAACATACATATATTACGAAACAGCATCAGGCGCAGCAACGTTGTGTGCTGAGCGAGATGCGGCTTCATACTGAACGTATGGCTTTCGAGGCTGGCGTTAGGCTGCCAATCTCAGCAGTCTTACTGTGTTTGGGCACACTAAAATGGTCGCGGACACCCATGCGGTTCAGTCGTTGACGATTTATCGGTATCCGATTATTCCGCTGTTTGACAAGTCTATGCATTGTATGGTTAGTGGTAATACCTAATGCACTCCGACCTGAGTTCATTATTTACATTAAAAGTGAACTTTTAAAAAATGATTTGTTTTGCTTTACCGGTAAACAAAATAGTTGTGCTGTAGTTTTTGAGAACGCCATATTTTTTATAGTCTTAAGGTTTTTTCGATATTTAGAAAGGACGTCATATCCGCTGGGTTTCCGCAAAACAGAGTTTGAGACCAGAATCAGCAATTTTTTTATGAAATAGTTGTGTTATTTAATTACATTTTTATTTTAAACAATTGGGAAGATAGGTTACAAAATCTATGTGATACTTTTATTCTTAATTTGATTTCCATACATAGGTACATTAATTTTAACAAGTAACAGGTTCTAGTCGGGAGCTCCCGATTAGAGGATATCTTGAACCCTCTTCTTCCAACACCAAATGCAGCTCGCGCTACGCGCTCGTTTGCTTTAGTAGTAATAAAGATAAATTTAAAAAAAGTTCCCTTGGCAGGGATCGAACTCGTAACTGACAGCATTACTTGCTGCCGACTCTACTCAACAGCCACACCAGCCAAAAAAAAAAAACATTTTCCTCGGTAAGTTCGAACTCGTAACTGTCCGCGGTACTTTCCGCCGCCTCTATTCAAAAACCACACCAATAATTGAAATATTACCTGTCGGTCCTCCTAGTGCCCGCACGATATACGATAGCTTGCCCTGTTTCCAAGCAATCGATTAAAATCGATATCGAAACTCTTTTTTTGATCAAATCTCGTACGTTATAAGAGAGAGATCACCAATCTCATAATATAGCTTTTAAAATAGTATATATATAAAGTATCTTTCATTTTATAGCTATCGCCACCTCCCCGCTACCAGCGCTAAGCTATAAATCAAGTAAATAAACCACTTGTATTGCCCACCAATATAAGCCACAATTTTAATGCAATTGAGTTTTTAAGAATAAACAAATATTTTATAGTACAAATAGACCTAGATATAGTACACAAAGATCGGTTAAGAAGCAGAGATGCTATTAAAGAAAACGTGTGGTTATATATATATTGGCAGCTCACGTGTCAGCGGCAGCTTGCTCAAGGCGCCAGAATTTCTGTATACATGTACGTGCGTCTTTATTGAATTCCATCAACAGCATTGCAATTTCGATTGTATTGTTGTGTGCCGTGTGCATGTGCTGCTATTTTAATTAGTTTGGCTGTTGACTAGAGGCGGCAGCAAGTAATGTGGTCTGCTACGAGTTCAAAACCTATCGAGGAAACATTTTTTTTTAAATTTTTTTTATAATCTTATAATTCTAGTTAACTACAAATATTTTTTAACAAAATATTTTAATTTAAGTCCTTTTTGAAAATGTTTATAATTTAGGCTCTCAATGATTTGTTTGAAGACCAGGGCTGGGCTTTTGAAGTAATTTCCGGGCATATTGGATGTTTAACGGCAATGGTACCGTGGAATGCTCTTATGACAAACGATAGCTCCCTTAATATTTCTAACTTGACAATAACTTTGAGACCAGTCACGCGTTGTCAAAGTGGAACAACTATGTTAGAATCCATGTGGTCTTCCGTTAGTAGTTCAATGCAAATGGCGGAAGAATGCATGAAGCAAATTGATGATGACGTACCATTTTTAAACCACAACAATACCTTGATTGGCTTGGAAAAGTTTGCGGAGACCATTGATAACGGTGAGTAATAGTTTATCTCAATATCTTAAGATAGTTTTAAGCGCAGTTAATACTTAATTTTCAATTCATGCCAGTAATAGAAAGTAAGCGCAGTAAATACTTAATTTTCAATTCATGCCAGTAATAGCTGAGGATTAAATTCAATAAAATATATAATAAGCTATGTTCGCAAGGTGTTCACAAGTGAACCAGTTTTGGTATAAACAAATCTATTGCAAATCAACATTCACTGCTAAATTTTCACCTCAAGTTACTTCACTTGGCTAAAATCAGCTTATACCGAAAGTAATCCACACAGCGCCGAACCACTGCGTATAGGCATAGTATGCAAAGTTTTAAAGTAAAAGTATTCTATTCGGGAGTCGACGATTAGAAGATACACCGAATCCTGAATCGCTGAGCTACCATTACAACCATTCTAGTTTCTTTCTTTAAATACGCAAATACAAAAACATACATGCACACACCTTGGTTTATACGCACTTTCGGCACCGGCTGTGCTTCAATTTTTCAATCGTATCGGCGGTAATAGGTCAATAGCGAGAATATATATGACACTGAAATGTGTGTATACATGGATATGAAAGGCTGTTGCTTTTATCCAAAATTTAAAAAAATGGAAAGTTATTTTTATTATGGAAAGGACACGGAATATTCTTGTATGGAGAATATATATTTTTAATTTTAGAACTGTAGCTCATACAGACTGGTAGGCATTGATGGAAAGACGCAGCTTGTCATCCTGTTCAAGAATATACATTCTTAATGGGGTCGCAGATACTTTCTTTTTCCTTTAATCGCAAAACCATTAAACCCGTTTTCCCCATTTAAATTGGTTTAGAATATAAAGATAAATGTGTCTATTTTTGGCACCCAACGCCGTGGCACCGGTTTTAGATTTTTTGATTTTGCCACCAAATTACAGGTGTGGTTCTTTCTGTTTTATTCTAGCATATACGCAATACCCATTTTGATAATTGATGATTTTCTATTGACTTTAACTTTTTGAAAGATTTTGTTATAATTTGTAGTCGGTTTAAAAGTAAGAGAGAGTTTGATCATTCAATGCGACCTATGACCCCTAATTTCCATTATTAAAAGCATTATTATTCGGGTAATACAGAGGAGAAACTGATGATAATATGTCTGTCGAGTACTTAAAAACCTCATCGAGAGAACATCAAATGAGCACTATTGTTTTGGTATCCTTCTGTATTTCAATGAATGGTTTAAGGACAGTGATTAACTCTTTATGCAACACGTGCACAAAAAGAAACTGTAGGTGAGTGTCTGGATATCAGGTCATCCACGTAGAAATTATTTCCTGTCGCTTTCGAAGCTTGTCAATGTTACTTTGCCTTCGACTCAGACGCGCTTTAAGCCCCATTTCAGTTAGATTTATGGGTTCGACTGCTAAAAAGTCTGTTAAAAGCATTCTCGCAGTCTTCCAAAGGAAGATGCTTCCTGTAGTCATGGCTAAACTATGTATAGAATGGTCTGATTTGCTCATCCTGTAGTCAAGGCTTAACTATGTATAGAAAGGTCTGATTTGCTCATAATAGACTGTTTTATATTTAAGATTTGCCTGGTTTTCCCATGACAATAAATCCTCATGAATATCCATAACATAAAGAAGTAGGCGAAATTCAATTTAAGACAATTTTTTCAAAAAACTTGTTTTTAGCTGCCAATGCCTTCATGTATTTGTCATTTGTAACCTGATTAAACTTAATCTTTCTAAAGGGTTCTCTTCAAACAGGACATCATATGGTTAAACTTTTCCTTGTTTACTATACTTTCTCAAAAATCGCTAAAATGGCATATTTAACAGACAGAGACAATGATTTCTGTAATTTTTATACACTGAACCCATTAAAAAAGGGTAAGAGGGGTATAATGTATTTGTGTATGTAACAGGCAGAAGGAGGCATCTCCGACCCCATAAAGTATATATATTCTTGATCAGCATCAATAGCCGAGTCGATCTAGCCATGTCCATCTGTCAAGAACTGTCGTTCCGTATGTATGAGCGCAAGGATCTCAGAACCTATAAGACCTAGCTTCTTGAAATTTGGAACATAGGTCCTCTTAGTGCCCGCGCAGTACGAGTTTGTTTTCGATAATCGATAACTTGCCCCGTTTTCAAGTAATCGATCGATATCGAAATCATGTTTTTATAACAAATCTCGTAAGTTATAAGAGCTAAATCACCAAACTTGACATAAATTTATATATATATATATATATATCAAATATCTCTCAATTTATAGCTATCGCCACCTCCTCGCTACCAGCACATGTAGCTATGATTCAAGCAAATAAACCAATTTGTATTGCCCACCAATATAAGCCACAATTTTAATGCAATTGACTTTTTGAGAATAAACAAAGATTCTATAGCACAATAAGGTCAACTGTGTGAATAAATTTACATTTACAAATTCAATGCGTATTTATGCTAGACATCAGTTAGTTAATCAATTAGTTTAATCAATTCCTTCTCATATATACATACATGTTTACTAAACCTAAGAGAACACATTTATAAATTTACGTAAATATACATACGTTCTAGGTCTAGGCATAACATGCACATACCTAAGTACATATGTTTATTTTCTCGCCTCAAGTGATAAATCCATAATATATACATTTTGCAGCACTATCAACTTAAATAAGCGCGTCATTTAAAAATTGTAATATATAAACCACTTATGTTTATATTATTTATATTGCTGTTTTTCTAAAGTAAGTCGATAATTTAAGATCAGGTAATTGATAAAGCAATCAATATTATCTTTATATCAATTCTGTAATACATGTGTAAATTATGCATTATGTTTATCAAATTGTGGCCATAGGAGAGTGAGTATTTTGCAACTCTCTCACTTCAAATGTGCTCAGCCTGCGATTGCCACCACACTACAGACATTTGCGTGTTGTCGATTTTCGATTGCCGATTTTGCGATTTTTAGTGATTTAACAACGATTTTTAATCAAATAAACTATTTCAGTCGTTTCCGAGCGGTTGAAACCTTCGTGACCATTTTAATAAAAAGAGTGCATTATCGATCAAAATGGTTTTCTGCCAATACTATTTGGCTTGTATGTACAAGTGTGTGATAGACACTTATGAAGAGTTTCGAAATAAACCCCCTCCCCCCGCACCCATCAAGTGTGAGATATTTGACTAGCGCGCGTACATTCATGTACATTGTGTGCATGTATTTATGTATATACAAATTGTGACTTCGTTGCATTAGCTGCTGCTAGAGAAGAGACTTGTGAGCGGATTGTGACCGTCGTGATAAGTGTAGTGCCTTTTTTTATCTTGCTCAGGACTCTGATGTTGTTTTACCATCTTGAGCTCCATTTTAATTAAAATCGCATGTTTTTTAATATAATTTTTATTTTTAAAGTCTTTTTGAAAACTATTCAAATATTTAAAACCGAATTTTTATTTATTTCAGACATATTACATGGTAATAAATAAATTTTGTATTAAATATAATATTAGATTATATTATATTAAATTATATAAAATTATAACATATATTATAAAATTTTAATAATAATTATATAAATTTTTAATTTTAAATAATTTAGTATACTTAATTTCATTTTAATTGATTTAATTTAATCAATTTCATTTAATTATTTTAAAAAATAATTATAATTATTTAAAATTACTAACTTTAAAATATTACATTTTTATTAATACTATAAAAAATTATCGCTAGTAAAATGCCACAACGAGCTAGAAATCAGTTAAATAGGTCTCAGAGACAACGAGCTAGAAATCAGTTAAATAGGTCTAATTCTGAACATGCTGAACAGTAGGGGGTAAACAACATTGCTTCTCAACGAGAGCGTAGAGAAAGTGAAAGTTTTAGTCAAACTGAAAGAAATAGGAGTAGGCAACGAAACCAAGTTCGCAGACAAGACCCAGTCTACCGGCAAACGAACACAGACAAAATACTGTAGACCGAGACGCGTCGATCGAGACGCAGACAAGACGAACAAGACAAACGAACAAGCGAACAAGAACAAGACAATATTCGACGAGCACGCGATCGGCAAAACATAGGACGATGACTTTTAGAAAGAGCTAGGGATAGAAAGCAAAGGTCTCAGGTTAGAGAGAATCCGATTCGTAGGATATTTGAGCAAGCACGTAATACAAGTACAAGGCGAAGTACTCGAATTCCAGCACGACAGGACGCTTTTGACGCGAATAGAAGTTTGTCGCAGCGAGTTAGCCTGTATAGGAGTAATACAGGTAATAGGATAGCAGAGAATAGGCGCATTGCTTCCAGGAACAAGGAAGAACGTGCGAATAATTTTCCAAAGCATAGAATCTCTCCACCTATTAGTAGTAACTTAGATGGTCTGATAGCTGCATTCAATAAAACAGTTAAGCAGGGTCGGGACCCTGACCGGGATCAGTTTTGCCTTTTTTACAAAAGGCAAGTAGACAAAATTTCTCGTGAGGTTATTGAAAGCAAGTATAGTGCAGAAGTAAGCTTAGATATTTTATATCTATCCTCTACATTTCCCTCTGTCAATAAAAAATATAGTTTTCGCAAAACATGTCGTATCATTAAATTAAATTTTATAACAAATGGCCTAGATTTTCTTGATCTGCCACATTGTCTAAAAGACTTAACGCCTTCAGAGGAAAGACTTGTTTCAACACGCCTTCCCTTCATGATTATTAAGTCTTGACGATATGACCGACAAAATGCAATTAAAGGAGCAGTGGTCAATGTACCAATTCCTGCGGCCAATGTTATAATGTCCCTTCCGAGGGCGTTTAATGAAAGCGAGGTAGTTCAAATTCATCTCAAACGTTGGATGGAATATAGCCATAATTTCATGGCTGAAACCATTATGCCCTCCAGGAGGCCAGGAAACATTATTAGAAAACGTCCCTGTCGCAAATATTGTCATGCAAAGAATAGTTATAGCTCCTGGAGAGGAGCGTCCTTGAGACATGATCG